TTAATAATTTGTTACAAAACTATGGTTCATTCAACAAAATAATACGAATTGTCGCTTGGTTATTGAGGACATTTGCACCGAAGCCGCGCGTGCAAAGGCCGAGCTATATCACGTTACATGAACTGGCTGCCGCAAAAATGCTGATCGTGAAGTATGTGCAACACAATGAATTTAAAACGGATATTGAACATTTACGTAAATGGTGCACAGTAACAACAAAAAGTAAATTATTAAATTTGAAAAGTTGAGAGTTGTTGGTCGGTTAAAAAGATTGCAATTAAATATGGAAACAAAACATCCCAAAATCATTCCTCGAAACAGTCGCCTAGCAGAGCTGCTACTCCATGAAGCCCATAAAACTTACCTTTCATGGAGGTCCCAAATTGGTGTCTGCTAATCTCAGACAACAATACTGGATCGTTGGAGGACTACGCAGTGAAAAAACAGTTGAGAAACTGTGTGATGTATCGCAAGAACAAGCCAGAACTATCCCATCAATTGATGGGTGATTTGCCACCTGCACGAATGGAGCTTGCGCCTCCATTCTTCCATACGGAGGTAGATAACACCGGTTTCATAGAAGTCAAGGCCAACAAAACAAGAAGTGCAAGATCATCGAAGGGCTACGTAGCAGTTTTCATCTGTATGGTGACAAAGGCGGTGCACTTGGAGTTAGTGTCCGACCTGTCCAGCACCGCTTTCCTTGCTGCCCTGCGAAGAATATCAGCACGTCGCGGAGCTCCGTGTCACCTATATAGTGACTGTGCAACGAACTTTGTCGGTGCCAACCGCGCTATGCAGGAGGAGTACGAACAGCTGCGACAGACGTTTGATGACAATTTCTTGAGTGTGCTGGCTAACATTAACATTGAGTGGCATTTTAATGCCCCTTCATGGCCGAGCGCTGGGGGGCTCTGGGAAAGAGCTGTTCAGAGCCTCAAATTCCACCTAAGGCGAGTCGTGGGCGAACAGCGGCTTACGTTTGAAGAATACTCTACCGTCCTAGCACAGCTGGAGGCGTGCTTAAACTCCCGGCCCCTGTGCGCACTCACGGAGAATATTGAAGATTTAGAATATTTATCGCCGGCGCACTTCCTTACTGGACGAGCAGGATTAACGATCATCCAAACTACTGAAGACGCAAGAACCACATGGCATTTAACAACTGAAATATTCCAACAAATATGGAAGAAGTGGAGGTCAGAGTACTTGTTAGAACTAACTGTAAGAACCAAATGGTTTCGACCACAACGGAACATAGGAATTGAGGATCTGGTAACAATCCATGATGACAACCTGCCTGCTGGGAAGTGGCCTATGGCAAGAGTGGTGGAGTTACATCCCGGCAGCGACGGCCACGTTCGAGTTGTAACTCTTAAAACAGAAAAGGGGTATTTAAAACGGCCTTTTGTAAAACTAAGCATTTTACCAATTCAAAAAGCAAGGAGTGACAGCGATAGCAGCGAACAGTTGCAAGAAAATAAAACAAGAAACAAGAGGTCAATAGGTCATTCAAGTTTACACTCCATCGTTATGACTCTACTATTTTTTACAACATTGGTGTCTACTGTGAATGGAACAAGCAACATAACTCATCTGAATGAAAAACAAACATTGTACTTTAACCCGTTGGCAAAACTACAGCTTCTGAGAGATCAATGGACCCTAGTAACCTACTATGAGATGGAACCCTTTTGGGACGGGACAGAAGCATTCAAGAAATTATTAGACTACTACTACCTAGAAAAATCATGCATAATTATGGATACAAACAACAAATGTAACCTGATTGTTCCACAGCTACGACACGAGTATACGGAGTTACAATACTATAATCAGCTGTTGCTGACCCAACATTTTACCGAGCGCTCCAGACGGCGACGACGCGGCCTTATCAATGGGGTCGATTACCTGGCTAATACATTGTTCGGAGTATTGGATGAGCGATTCGCTGAACAATATACACGTGACATTAACTTTATCAAACAAGACCAAGCCCATCTTAAAAGGTTGTGGATCAATCAGACATCTGTGGTAGAATCCGAATACAACTATCTGAAACGGTTGGAGGGAATTATGGATAAACAACACAAAGCTATAAATAGACAACTAAACAATCTTGGTGAGGCTACAAAGACACTACAACGAGAAGTAATCGAAGTCTATAAGGAAGAAGATTTCACTATGTCGGCAATTATGGCTACCAATATGATCCATAAATTGAAAGAAATCCAGGCAATGATGGTTGAAACGATTACAAACATTTACCAAGGCCAATTCAATTTACATTTGTTAACGCCACAACAATTACAAGAACAACTAAATATTATTTCCCGATTATTAACCAAAGACTTAACACTGCCAGTTGAAAATATACATACAGATTATCACAAGTTATACAGACTCATGAAGATCAGAGCCAGGATAACAAAGGATTATTTTATATTTGAAATTAAGATTCCGTTAATAAGCCGTGAATCATTTAATCTGTATAATGTGATCTCCATCCCGAAGAAAATCGGCAACTACGTCTTAACAATATCACCAGTAGCTGAGATCATCGCAATCAATCTCCAAAAGGATAGCTACTTACCTATAACTCAAGAGAACTTGAAGGAATGTGTCTCATGGGATGCCAAAACATTTATGAGCAAACTACAAACTTCAGTATTTAAGATGAAATCTGATAAAGATTTGTGCATCTTAGACAGTACTAATAATGAATGTAAAACAAGCAAAACCGCGTGTGAGAACAAGTGGACTGGATTAACTACAATGAACACTTACCTTTATTTTTGTTGCGAACAATGTCAGCTGAGAATAATATCCGGAGATCGTGTTTCCGCATACCACCTGATCGGTAGCAACGTCATATATCAAGACGACGAGTGCGTCATCAAAACAAACGACTTTACGATTTATGTACATAGTAATTTTGGAAGCAAAATGAACCTTAATTACGACAAATTCTTATAAAACTTACTTTTAAAGTATCTCCATACGAAATAGTCAAGCAGGTTAGGGTCGGAGCTTCTGATGTTACCTTACCATGAAATGACCTTATTAGGGAATAATTGGTTGACAGCTTCAAATGATTGATTTGATGTATGGCAAATGACCCTGTCTTGCCGATCGATCTTCATGAAAATAAGGGCTGAGTATGCTATTAACAGACATAGCGGCCCACACAACGACCTTTGGGCTGTACAGGAGTCGTTCATGCTTTCGTCCCGGATTCTCCTCTGCCCATTATCGACAATTCTACTTATTTACATGCCCATTCAGGTGAACGTTGTTTTTGTTACTGAACAGTATGTTTTCAAAGTTGTTGAATCGCCGTTCGCAAAATTCAATCGATTTACGTAGTCCGTATCTTTCAATTCTTGAACCAATTGAATCTTTCTTTAAAATCGAATGCAAAGATGATTTCTCTTTCGGATGGATTATTACGAAATGACACCTTCACCTATTCGATTGTTTCCTTGTGGTGGACTGAACGAGGGCAACCAGAGTTTTGAATTTTTACCGTCGCACCTGTATTTTCAAACATCCAGATCGATTTTCTAATGCTATCGTCAGTTGGTGCATTGCATATGCGATACTCCGCACGATAAAAACGTTGAGCAGTCACTATTGAAGTATTGAAATCACCGTTACGATAATACGATTGTACGCAAAAAGCCCAGCTCCATTAGGACTACGACTACACAAAATGGCGGACTCCACGATCCCCTCCCCGTGCCCCTACACCGCTACAAATCAACTTCAGCGCCCTATGTTTTACATACAATACAATACTAGCATTTTATAATATAACATTAACCTTATTTAGAAAAAAAAAATCAAAACAAATGACAGTGATAATTATCCATACGAGTAAGAAAAGGAATTCAAAATTATTATAAATATTCAGAAGTATTGAAAAGGATTCAAATTTCGTTATTTCCAATATTTATAACTTGTTTTTTTAATCAGGGTAACTTAAATTTAAAATAAAAAATATTTATTCCAATATGTTTTTTCTTAATTTACATTTTCCGTCTTTTGCATCTACCTTCTAAGGTAAGGTTTGGTCCCCAACGAATCCAATTAGTTTTAAATAATTATTTTCTAAACCCCAATCGCAGTTTTAAGGACTCAATTTCATACAGTCTGGATCGGTTGCATGAAGACACATAGAATTGACGTATACAGCTCGAAAAAAATTAAAAAAAAATTATAAAAATTAATTTAATAAAAAATAGCCATGAACACTTTTCGAAAGGCAAGCTATCATAGGCGTGTTTATAAATCAATAAAATTTCATAAAAAATACGTCTCATCTGGTTATGAAATGGGTGTAAGTCGATCTCCCACCGTCTCCTCTACTATTAATCTAAACAACGCCACATCAATAGATCCTATTGAGGCGAAGCCGTGGCGGGTTGCTAGTATTATAAAGAAGGTGAGAAAGATTAACTGGTTGGATGAACTATAAAATAATAAAACGCTATCCGCACCCCATGCAGTGTGTCGTAAGAGGCGACAGAGTGAAACTGGAACAGGAAAGCTAAAAATAATAAAAAAAAACTGCAGTTTTCAACTCGTGTGCCAAGCGTGGCAACTATGGCAAATATTCACTATATGAGGCAATCTATGGGGTAGGCTTATATTAAGCACTAGAATTACATGCTTTAATTCCTCCCTCCCCTTTCCACAGACGGCTGGTCTTCAACCCTTTGTTGTCGATATTTCACGCATTAAAACCAAACAGTTTGCTTCGTCTTTTGTAATGGGTTCAGTAAAGGAGTGGAACCGGCAGCTGTCTTTACGTCCGAGTAAAACCTCGGTGTCTTTAAAGCAAAAAAAAATAGGCTTTTGTTACGCTAAGACAGTGCATTTTACCATCTAGGGCTTGTAAAAATATATAAAAAGTTAAATGAATAGGAAAATAAGGAGACAGATTAAAAATGTAAAGTTGGCAATCAAAAAGATTACTTATTAAGAGGGAAAAACCTTACCAAATGTTCATCCTTCAGGAAGCAGTCAAACTCGTGGTCCATGAAATCCTTAAGCGACTGCACTCTAATTGCTCCCACCGCTGGAAAAGCTAATTAATTAGTAAAGTTTCAGACTGGACGTATATGGGCTTATACACTTTACAGTCTATATAAAGGAAGTACGTGTATTACATGTACATATGTATGGTTGTTACCTTACAGCTGAGCATAGACCTCTTTTAAGTTTTGAATTCTTAAGAAGTCATGCATTCCTCGTACCAATGCATAATGTCAGTCATGACAAATGGATCTTAGATGTGGTCTCTTATTGATGACCATTTGGGGAAACCTAAGGTCATTCAATGATCCATAGGCAGGTCTATATAAAAAGAATATTTGCGGTATAACCAGAGCACCGACCACCGATTGGGGGAAAACGGGGCAACCTCGTAACGGTAAGCGATGTGTCGATGCAGGAAGAATAGTAAATTAAAAAAAAACCTCTGCTTGGGTTGCTGCCACGTCCACTTATAAAATATTCTACATTTATCAGTTGCTCTTGGGAATAGAAATATACTCACAGCTTAAAACGGAATTTACACGTAATTTAAAAACGGCGGTGTGTCCTGGTGCGTACGATTCCTTGTATCTGTTGGGAGAACCCAGCGCCCCCATCTCGCCGGAGTCCAGAATCGTCACACGATTGCACAGGCGCTCTACTTCATCCATGCTGCAATAAAAATTATCTAGAAACATTTCATAATATTTTAGATTAGAGCAGATTTAGGGTAGAGCCACGGGCAGCTTTTGCTGTCGCACGGATAGGCCGGCTCGAACCGTGGTGGTACCACGACCTCATAGAATAAAAATTAAATAAAATTATCATCGCAAATACAAAATTTATGGGAGACAGATGGATTATGAATTATTCTTTCTTCTTAGAAAAAGAGCTTAGAAAAAGAAGTAGAAATTATATATTATAAGGAGTATATTCATTAATATACTCCTTATAACATAGAATATACCATTCATAGGAAAGCTAAAGCATTTTGGAGCTACATTAATTCTTTAAAAAATATTAGTGCTACTTTACCATCAGGTATACATTATAATGATAACAAACATTAAAGGACAAGACGTATGCAATGCAATCTGACTATTTTCAAGACAGAAATGACAGGACCATAGAATTATTACCTACAGAAAAAGTGAAGCAAGTAAAACTAACGCGAAACCGCATAAGTTCACTCAGCGACGAGTCAGTGCGGAACATCACGTCTTACGGAGAAGAGCTCGCGAAAAATTGTAAAAAATGACCGTTTGGGTTGTAAAATATTATTACAACAGTGATAATAAACATAAAAAAGTTATGATATTATATTTAACAATTTAAGTTCATATATATAATTCATTATAAGTACGTAAAACTAAAAAAATACTTACCTAAGCTATTATAATGCAAATGTTGCTAGTTGTGGGGAAAAAATCACAATTTTCTTTTAAAAATATTTATTTTCTATTTGTGTTTAAAACGTTTAATCGGAACGCTCAAATGAACTCAAATGTTTATATATAGATACCTACTTCTCTAAGTATTAACATAATATTAACAATGGGCACCCTATTTAAAACTAATACGGAGTGATCAGCTGATCGCAATCCGTCGACGCCATTTTAACGCAACTATTTTATATTAATTGCTTTGTTTATTGACTAAGTCGACGTTATAGAGTATATAATAAAAACTTTTTATTTATTTACATCATTAAGAGATTACTAATAAGATCGCCTTTAATAACCACATGTCACTGTACACCCAAACATTAACCAGCTGTCATTTTACACCCAAACATAGTCTATCTTTAACCGACTACCAAAAAGGAGAGATTATCAATTACATATGTACACTGGTTTCTAAGACGATTCTAGATCAATTCGTATATACATGCTGAAATTTTAGTGGTTTTTTTTCAGCAGCCAAATTATACTGTCTCGATAGTAGAGTCAATTTAGTAAAATAAAAAATATTACAATTAAAAAAGGGCAGATTTACAATAGTAATACCTCACGAGCTAGTCAGGCGTCCAGGCTAGTTTATGTCGTATCACTACGCTTGAGAGTTCATGCTCTGAACATTTATTAGTGGCCCTTCACTGGGTAGGCAGCGCGGTAGCGCGTGCGATAGACGTAACACTGCGTTACATCCAGCGTATTAATTTTTTTTCAGACTTTATTATAGTAATACGGCATAACTCAGCATGCACGGCTAAGCTACTTGAAAGATATTGCTATTGGCTTGAAATCGCATTCAAGTTTTGTTTTTCTCAATTGTAAATCTGCCATTTTTCCATCCTAATAATTTTTATTTTAATAAATCTATTGTACTACCAAGACAAAATCATTCGACTTCGGGAAAATAACCATTAAAATTTCAGCGTGTATATTGGATCAATCTGTGTGTATATCTTTTCAAATAAAAGAATCTAAATCGGTTTAGAAATTATAGAATTCTAAGGTAAAAAAATTAAAAAATACACCTTTTGAGAATTTGATTGTTGATTTGAGAACTTCAAAATTGAGAACCTCCTCCTTTTTTGAAGTCGGTTAAAATTAAACATTACACAATGTGCTTATTGTATTAGAGCAAATTTATTGTTTAATTATATTCTTAAATTTTATCACGTCTGCATTTTTGTACCATTAAAATATGTATTTAAAGTTATATTACTTTCATCATTGTCGTGTTTATTTTATTCCATTTTATATTCCATATTATGATTCTCATAAAATATGTACGTAATCTTCATTATATCGATTATATAAATAAAATTAATCAATAAAATAGTGATTTGCACAATTTGACTGCAAACGTCAGAAACTGGTATCACTGAATGGCGTGTATGTGTGCGTGTGATAAGCCCACTAACATAATGATCTTGCGTCACTTTAACGCTCGTGTTTTGTACTAGACAGCGTTTCTACTGGGTAATAATTCTATGGACAGGACCGTAAACAATTGTATAATATAATTGACCGTAAGAAATCTAATGACTATCCCACCATGATTAATAATATACGAATCAATCAATTACTCTGTGTAAGTAGTGCTGGTTTACCACGTGCTCAACGGAGAAGAAAAATATCGTGAGGAAACCTGCATGTCTGAGCAATAAGAAAAAAACTGTCAGTCGTAGGACAGCGCGCACTGACTTTTATATATGGACTGACTATACACCGTGATATAATGTTGCGATTTAATTTTCGCCATTTTGGCGCTGACAGCAGAAGTGAGCGTCCACGAAACTAATTATAGAGAAGACAGTTTGATAAAAAAGGTTATAGGCATAGTACAATTAACTTACACAAGGTGGCGTGAGTATCGCACTGACAATTTATTTGAAAGTTATAAATCATTCAATTTCAATGATTGTATTATTATTCCCAATTAAACAATATAACTCTTCCAAATTGAAAACGATATTTCCACAATTATTTCTTCTGTGGCAGCAATGCGCCGTGTACCATCTAGCATTATATAAAAAAGATATAAAGTTTAAATTACATGGCTATTATTTATTTACAACTTCATTTTCAAAATTCAAATTCACCTAAAAACAGTAAGTATCATAACTGAAAAAATTGCAGAGCACATTTACCGTACCAACTACTCGCCCGTGCGATTTACGGCTGTGACACGGTTTTTCTTCTGAACTGTCGGTCTAGTAGTATACATAGAAGTCTTTAATTCAGACAAAATGGTACCATTAGTATACATAGAAGTATTTAATTGCAACAAAATTGTGTACTTATGTGAGGATAGCACCACGCAGCGGCCGTGTGTGAGGGCGCGCTTGACCGCTAGCCACACTTGGCGCTTGGCGGCCGTGTCTACGCCCGCCGTGGGCTCGTCCAGCAGCGCAGCGTGCGCGCCGCCGCACAGCGCCGCGCCCACCGCTAGCCGCCGCGTCATACCACCGCTGTAGTCCACCGTACGTCGCCCGCCGTACTCATGTAGCCCTGCACGCACGCACCGTACAGTTCTCCTACACTGGCCAGCCTTATCTATACACACACGCACCGTACAGTGCTCCTACTCTGCACCAGCCTTATCTATACACGCACGCACCGTATAGCGCTCCTACACTGCACCAGCCTTATCTATACACGCACGCACCATACAGCGCTCCTACACTGCACCAGCCTTATCTATACACGCACGCACCGTACAGCGCTCCTACACCGACCAACCTTATCTATACACGCACGCACCGTACAGTGCTCCTACTCTGCAACAGCTCTAACAATACACGCACGCACCATACAGCGCTCCTACTATGCACCAGCCCTATCTATACATACACGCAGCATACAGCACTCCTACACTGCACCAACCTTATCTATACACAAACGCACCGTACAGCGCTCCTATACTGCACCAGCCTTATCTATACACGCACGCACCGTACAGCGTCCTACTACGACCAACCTTATCTATACACACACGCACAGTACGGCGCTCCTACACTGCACCAGCCTTATCTATATACGCATGCACCGTACAGCGCTCCTACACTGCACCAGCCTTATCTATACACGCACGCACCGTACAGGGTTCCTACACCGACCAACCTTATCTATACACGCATGCACCGTACAACGCTCCTATACTCCACCAGCCTTATCTATACACGCACGCACCGTACAGCGTTCCTACACCAACCAACCTTATCTATACACGCACGCACCGTACAACGCTCCTGTACTGCACCAGCCTTATCTATACACGCACGCACCGTACAGTGCTCCTACTCTGCAACAGCTCTATCAATACACGCACGCACCATACAGCGCTCCTACTATGCACCAGCCCTATCTATACACACACGCACCGCACTGCGCTCCTACACTGCACCAGACCTATATATGCACACGTGCCGCTGGTGTATATATTATGTAAAAATTTTACTAAACAAAAATGTACTTAGGGATTATTTTCATTAATGTATTCCTTAATATTACAATAATCCTTTATTGTAATATTAAGGAATACATTAATGAAAATAATCCCTAAAATTAAGGTAGTCGCTACTAACAAGCATTGTTGTGTTATAATTAATAAAAATAATTGTAAAAAATAATTGTAATATTGTAGGTCTTAAAAGTTATATTTCTGGGTTTCCCAAGACAGAGATATTTTCCAAACCAGTAGTAAATAAAAAATGACTTCCAAAATTATTATGTAGTAGTAAAACTATTCTAGAACCAAAACACTCAACTGCAAAACAAACTCAATAGTAGAAATGCGTTACATCGTAAGAGGAAAAAGCAACTGGTTTATAAAAATAGCACACTAGAACTGTTGTGTCTAAACTTAAATGATTGTTCCTATTTTAGGCATAAAGATAGCTAAAAGGAAATATGTAGCGTAAGTATGTTATTTTGTATATAATTTATAATAACTTAACAAAAGAAATGTAGAACTTAATGTTACACACAATATTAAAAAAAAACTATAATAATTATGTGGCGGATTGGGATTATTTTACTAGATATAGTGGACTGTATTGAGAATCTAAATCCCCTGAAACGTTCAGTTACCGCAGTCACAAAATCACACCAATAACAGCAACAAACTACTCACGGTCTTACTAGCCAGCCTCCCAAGATCAGCAAACGTTGACAGCTCCTGGTAGCTTCTTCTACACGGTAGAATACACTAGCAATTAGATTGTACACGGTACACTCTGGAGTAGTCCCTTTTTAAAGTTTTTGGAGAGATGTTCACATCACGAACACAAAGAGAATGTGTGTGGCTTGTCTCGCCTCCTACCCTCCTCTTCTCTTTTTTTTAACTCCACAGATTATTACAACGCATATTACGTCGCAATGTTGCCACTAGGTGTGACCGGCGCTCCGATCGTAGCAGATCATTGTGCCTCGGTATAAATTTTGTGAGTTGCGGTTTATTACTGAACACACCCCCCACCGAAACCATCTTGATGGTTTCTCCTAACTATATGAAAAAGATATTAGAGAAAATATTATAACTTAAGCTACGGAACATGCAAAATAACGCTGAGACACAGAATGTCCTCAACGAGAAAAAAAAATATTAATACACGTAAAAACTAATTTGAATAAGGTAGAGGACTCAGTTTATTAACTGGTCTCTGTAGAGTACTCTTTTGAGTGCGAAGCGTAACACAACGAACAATCCCATCTGGACCGGGGTGAAGAGCCTCAATTCTACCCAAAGGCCAATCGCACGGCGGTACATTATCAGTTTTTATGATTACGAGATCACCTATTTTTATATTAGATCTATCCGAATGCCACTTTGCTTTCTGTTGCAGCGTATTTAGATATTCGTGACTCCATCTACGCCAAAACATTTGTGAACATTTTTGAATATATTGCCAACGTGATAATCGATTTATTGTTATATCCTCTACATTATACTCAGGTACTGCTGTTAACCCTTTTCCAATTAGAAAGTGTCCCGCAGTCAAAACGTTGAACTCATCAGGATTATCACTAGCTGGTAACGGACAAAGCGGCCGCGAGTTGAGAATCGCTTCTACTTTACAAAACACTGTTGTGAGTTCCTCGAACGTCAAACTTTTTTCTCCTACGGCTCGCGTTAATAGATACTTGGCGGATTTAATTCCAGCTTCCCAGAGCCCACCCATATGTGGTGCACCAGGGGGATTAAATCTCCATATAATTTGTCGTTTTGAGCAACCCTCTAATATATTGTTTTTTTGTTCGAGCATAAATCTTTGTACTTCGGTTAAATGCTTACTAGCAGCTATGAAATTAGTTCCGCAATCCGAATAAAGGAAGGAGCACACACCGCGTCGCGCTACAAATCTGTCTAAACACGCGAGGAAACAGTCCGATGACAACGACGATAAGACTTCAAGGTGTACAGCTTTTGTCGAATAACAAATAAATAATGCTAAATATGACCGTTCAACCCTAGCATTTCGTCGTAAACTTTCTTTTGTAAAGAACGGACCACCGAGGTCCACCCCTACATGCTCAAAAACATTACAAGGTATCAATCGGGCTGCTGGCAAAGGTGCCATCTCAGGCTGTAAGAGCACTGGGTTGTGTTTAAAACAAATTTTGCATTTGGACAAAACTGACCGAATAATGCGACGGGATGCTAAAATCCAAAAATTTTGATTAATAATGTTTTGTAAGGTGCGTGGACCTACGTGTAAATATTTTTTATGTAAATATTCAATAAGTAAAAAGGTAAATCTACTATTTTTAGGTATTAAACGAGGATGCTTCGCGTTATAAGGTAACGCTGAATAATTTATTCGACCCCCCACCCTGAGGTATCCGCGTTCGTCAATAAATGGAGATAATTTTCTCAACGACGGAACGTACTTTGTGCCCTTTGACAATCTATTTATTTCATTTGCGAAGTATGCACTTTGTACTAATTTAATTAAAACATCTTGGGCAGTATTTAATTCGTTAGTCGTCAGTATTGATTGCTTCGAGTGACCGGATTTGAGTCGGAACCATCTCAATATTCGAGCAAACGTACGTTGCAGTTTATAATAAGAAGAGAAATTGGAAAAGATTCGGTCACAGAACTCTAACTTAGTCTCCTCTATCGAATTATTTTCATTTGTGATTAAATTGAAGGAGCCTAATGTATGATTTGATTTCATTTCGGGTGTATTACTTTCATGTTGGTTGATAAATGTTCTCACTGGCCACTGCGAATAGTCGTCGTACAACCAAGATGGGCCCTTCAACCACTGCTCACTGCACTCCACGAGCTGTGACGGAGACGCTCCGCGCGAGCATATGTCTGCCATATTGCACTCACTACTCACGTGACGCCAACAGTGTGGAGGTAACACTTCACATACCTGAGTAACACGGTTACTAACAAACGGCTTTAATTTGTAAGCTTCTGTCTGAAGCCACGTCAACACGATAGTCGAATCGGTTAACGCAGTAATACGAGTAATTTTTACACGAGTTAAAATGTCACGGACATATCTAATTAATTTGCTTAACAAAACTGACGCCATTAATTCCAACCTCGGGATAGTTAATGGTTTGACGGGGGCTACTTTAGATTTTGCTGTCACCAGGCGTACTTTAGTTTGACCTCTATCGTTACGACTGATCACATACACACAACTAGCATAACCGCGAGAGCTTGCATCGCAAAAGGCGACCAATTCACATTCGGTCTGTTCTGGTAGCAGCATATGTCTATCTATCTTGATTGCCGTTAGTCGCGGGAGATCATCAACGTAATTAAGCCAGCGCTTAGTTACGTTGGTTGGCAGCTGCTCATCCCATCCTATGCCCAGCTTCCATAAATCTTGCATTATTTCTTTCGCGATGAAAATGCACGGTGAAATAAAACCCACGGGGTCGTAAATAGAAGCTAATAATTTCAAAACAGAACGTTTAGTTGTTACTTTATCAGTCTTATCTACTGTGAAATAAAAACAGTCAGTCAAAGGGAACCACTTCAGACCTAGCACTTTGACTGAATATTCGTTACCATCTTTCATAAATGTAACAGGACACTCTCGGTTTTCTAACGGAACGCGTTGTAAAACTTTTGCACTATTACTCGCCCACCTTTTGAGTATAAAGCCCCCGGAATTAAACATCTCTAAAAGTTCATCTTGTAACCGAGATATCTCTGACAATGAACTGCAAGAATATAGAATGTCATCCATGTACACGCCCTCGCGCACAACCTTTGCAGCGAGTGGGAAACGTTCTTCCTCGTCATAGGCTAACTGTAAGAGGGTGCGGATAGCTAAGAACGGTGAGCAACTTAAGCCGTAAGTGACAGTTTTTAATTCATAAACGTCAATGGCATCGTTAGGCGAATGACGATACAAAATATGTTGATAACATCTATCTGACTGATTCAGTTTAATTGCCCGATACATTTTGCATACGTCACAAATCAAACAATATTCAAACAACCTAAAATTCAATATTATAGCCCCAATATCTCGATACAG